CTAGTTGTGTTCTCTTATCGCTAAACTAACTACCGAGACAACTTGAATCTGGCTGTCAAAATTCTGTACGAGAATTAGTCTTTTTAGTGTAGACAACTAGAAACCCCAATGACCTTACTGTAGTGTATGACATAATTTAGTCCAATCAATGCCAATAACAGAGCTCCATCCCGTTTGTTCCTTCTTGTTCGTGCGGAAGCCTAATATGGAATGGCCGACTAATTTAGGTGTGTACTAGACTTACCTGGCTATTTTTTTTATATAATATGTAGATCTAGTTTCTTTATAACATGAAAATTGAAAGTTAAAATTTTTTATATTCCAGGGGGTTTTGTGTTATGTAGTACTTTAATTAAAACTGAAAACATCAATCATTTTGATCAAAAACTCCATGATGGTTTGAATTGTTCAACTCAATTTGAGACCTGTATTCCATGCAATCAAGGAACATTTGCTAATGAATGTAAGTAGCCTTGACATTTTCTGATATAAATTGCAATCTGCTACTTATAAAGCTTTTGTAAAGTAAAAAGTTGATCCTACATATTTTGGTTGTGGATCAAAAAGTATGTGGATTAGCTCAATCATTTCTGTAATTCTGAAGTGATGATTAATGGTAGAGAACACATTAAACAACTTTGATGGTATACTACTAGGCTACTGATGATGACAATGTAAACTTCAGGAAACGTCATATACAATGAAACTCAAGAGTATACTATAGTGAAATTTTGTTCCGGTATCTAACCTCTGTAGTTTTATTATGTATAGGAATGAAAATATTTCTTCTTCATATTTCCCTATTGATGTACTGATCACATTATTTAACTATGAATAACGTTATTTTTGACAGCTGGAGAATTTTGTGGTTGTTGTCCGCTGACTTCTCAAGGACAATGTTTGAACTCTAGTTATTGTACTGCTTGCTATCCTGGTTCTTCTCAGAGGTTTAATGGACAAAGTTTCTGTCCACCATGTGACCCAGGGACAGCTCAAAAGTAAGTAAAGGTGTGGGGGGGGGGGGGGTGCAATCTGATAAAATTAGATAACAATTCTATTTTGATATGCAGGACACAAATAAAGCAATATGGCAACCTTTTTGAGTTTCATTATCAGACAATTTGTCTACATTAACTACATAACATGCTTTGATTGGTTGAAAATAGCGTCTTAACAACAGGACTGTACTAAAAAGCCTGATAGATTACAATTAGGACAACAATTATCAGAGATTTACATTTGATAAAAGCTTCTTTTTTTTTAATTGAGTTGTCTTTTTTCTATGGAATACATGTATCTCTGGAAAATTCATTATATTTCAGCAAATCTGGACAAATAAATTGTACACAGTGTGATGCAGGTTTTTTTTCAAATGAGACCGGAATGGAGTATTGTGATCCATGTGATCCAGGTACTGCACAGAAAGCTCCAGGACAAGTTTTTTGTCCACCTTGTAAAAAGGGAACTGCACAGAAGTAAGTTCATTTTGATAATGTTCAAGGTATTATGACGTATGAACTATCCTGACACTGGAAAGATAAAGAAATCTATTTTTTGCAGTTATTTTTGCATCAAAAGACAAGCATTGTTGTTAGAGTCTACTTTCAAGAGCCCCATAAGAACTGCATCATGATTTCTCAGTAGAAATGGTGCAAATGGATATTATCAGTGTTTCTAATACACTTGATTTTTTTTAGAAAATTTCTGTTAAATATACAGATGATACTATATTTGTTTTGTGTTATTTAGTGAATCAGGTCAGATAGATTGTGATCAGTGTGAACCTGGTTTTTATGCTAATGAGACAGGAATGGAGAACTGTCAGCCTTGTGAACCAGGTCAGTATTTAGAATTCTACATGTGGAATTGATTTGGATGTTCTGGAAATAACCTTCTTGCTTATGTTCTCTGCTTTCTATCCAAATCACAGAATAGAGATGATTTCCTCATGAAAATTAGCTATTATTTCTTTTACTAAGCATAGTTCAAATCTGATATTTCTATCACCAAGCAATATCTCATATATGAATATTTGCTTGCCTTATGTTAAAACCATGTGATATTATGTTGTATGTCTATTCATCTCTGTATAATTATTATAGCTAGTTAAATTTACCCATAACATAGTGTGTAAAAGAGAGGATTATCTACTTAATTAAGCTGATTCAGATATAAGGAGAGATTAGTATTTAATATAATTAATTACAATTAGTAACCTGCCCTTATTAAGTTTTAAGCCAATGGTTTGGGTAGCATTGTTTAGGTAGCAACCGGGATAGGGCTATATAAGACCCAAAGATATGTGGTCTCAAAAAAAAGAAAGATGTATTAAGAATTAGAATATCAACTGTAAATATTGTATATATATATATTAAACCTATTACACCTGGTATATGAAGAAGAGTTCTGTTATTCTATTAACCACGAGACAATCAGAATCTATTATCAGTATAGAGCTATACACCCCCACGTACATCACGATATTGATAGATTGAGCGATTGGTCTTATTTCACTGTTTTCAGGGTATTCTACACCAATAATGAGAAGTTTTCAATGTGAGGCATGTCTTCCTGGAAAATTTCAAAATGAAACCGGACAAATTGAATGTCTTCCTTGCCCTGATGGACATTTTACTAATGAAACAGGACAATCTGAGTGTGAACCTTGTCCTTCTGGAGAGTTTCAGAATCAAACAGGACAAATACAGTGTGTGCCTTGTGATAGAGGCTACTTTCAAAATGATACTGGACAACTGGACTGTGAACTTTGCCCTGAAGGTCATTATCAAGATTTAACAGGTCAAGTTGAATGTAATCAATGTGACCCAGGAACAAGTCAAAATGAAACCGGATCTACAGAATGTGAACCGTGTGACTATGGGTCTTATTGTCCGTAAGTCAATTTTTTGTATAATGAAAGATGTAATACACCCTGTCAGTGTTTTGTTACACTTTTGATATGAAAGTGATGTAATGGTCTTTAATATTTTGTAAAAGTCGAATTTTAGGTACCTATCACATCGCATTTCAGAGATAGTCGAAAATGCCGATTTTATTATTTCTTTAAATATTTGTTATATTCTGTAATATATTTATAGTTCACAAGGCTGTGTAGACTGTCAAGCATGTGATAAAGGTAAGAAAAATTAATTATTGTGTCTGCTAAACTCTCAAGCTTTGTCAAAGTTTCCCTCAGTGCACACTATTTGGTATACCCAAATTATTTCCAAAAGAACAGACAAGTGAGACAACTAGATAGGAAGAAAATTTACTTTATACTTTAATGTTTATTTTCCAACCATGTAATACCTGTGTTGGGTTAATAATAAGCTGGGAATATTCATCAATTGTTAATACACATACTGTATAATTTGGAATATACTGCTCACCTCGTACTGTAAATTCTTGTATGTATCTTGGTTCATCTCTGTGATTATTAAATCTTTTTTAGCAGTTGTAATTTGTTAATTATATATATAGTCCTGTATGAATTCTATTTATTTTGTCATAAATTAATTCAATTAGGAACATATCTAAATGCAACTGGAGGTCATTTATGCTCAAAATGTGGGTTTGGAGAATTTCAGAATAAGACTGGTCAAGCTTTATGTGATGATTGTGATTTTGGTACATTTTGCAAGTAAGTAATTTATTTCTTCAGTTTTTCATATATTATATTTTTGATGGGTTGAAATTTTCAAGAACTTGGGACATGATATAAGCAATATATACCCGAGCAGCTGGTATACCGGCCATTGCTAAGTGACGTCATACAACGTTAATGTCATACGCTTTTACTTTTATTACTTGGAGTTCAGGGTATATGACGTTATATTTCATTTACACTCAGGGTTCAAAGGCAAAGTTGACAATGCCAACATTACACAGTGTTAAATGAGGAATAATAAAAATCTGTACATCCATCTGTTAATCAAAATCTTGTCAAAAATGTGACAAAATCGAGAGTAAATGTAGTGGACTCCTCTAAAGAGGATGGAGAATGGCTTTCACATTTTAGATTTTTTAAATAATTTTGTTTCTTATTCTGCTTAATGGCATGGTATAGGATATAGGACTAAGGATGTTGTACAGACATAGTGTGAAAGTTTTTAACCTAGATTATTATTAAATATTAATTTGATACATTTCAGTCAAACTGGATGTGTTCAATGTTTTTTATGTGGTGAAGGTCATTTTGGAAATGATACAAAGTTAGACAATTGTTATAAATGTCCAATAGGTAACAATAAAGTGATAATTTTCCTTGATTAAAACAATGAACCTCAAAAGAAATATTAGAATAAGTTACTGGTATATGGAATTTTAAAAATATGCATACTGCCTATTTCCATATTTCAAAATGGAGTATGCATGGAATATTACTGATGGATACAGTTAAATTACTGGAAATAATCAATATTATCCAAACTCCTTTATTACACGAAAAAGACACTGAAGAAATACATTTCAACCTATTTCAGGAACATTTCAACCATCAAAAGGAAAGACTGATTGTTTAGAGTGCCCCCCTGGGTTTGATACGAAGTATGTTTGTCTTTATTTCCATTCTATTTGCTATGGAATTTCATTTAAAAGATGGTCTAAAAATTTATTTTGAACTAGAGAGTAACCCAAACCGGGTAGATCAAGCAAATTTTATCTGCCAATAACCATTGTTAAAGTCTAGAACACTGAATCAATTACCTTTGAAGATGTTGATGTATTTATAAAACAGTGATCACATTGTAACAAACAAGTATCTATGTATAATTAAAACAGTTTGTTGTAGTCAATGCAAAATTCATCTTCACTGTCTCACTTTTTGATCAGTACAAGTGGTCATGGCCAAGCCGAAATTGTCTTAAACCCAGAAAGTGACAAGAAGGACCTTTTTATTATCCCACAAACGGCCAATTATATGGACATTTACGTATTCTTTTGTATATTCTAGTAAATTTGGCAGTCATAATTGTACAGGATGTAGAATTGGCAGATATAAAAATCATACTGGAACTGATTTATGTTCTCCTTGTGATGCAGGTGAGACATTTTTTCAATGATTTTGGTAAATTGTAAATTGTTCTAACCTAGATTTTTGCCCGAAAAACTTGCTTTCGGGGCATGCTCGGCCACTGCGGGTGCCACAGTATTGAATATATGAATTTACAATGTAATCTGAACTCTAATACTGGTTGGGAATTGGCCATTCACTAACATTCATACAAATATACTGATTCTTTTTGAAGTATTCTCATTGGACCTGCTTGCATCGTCATTTGTCTATTTTATTTATTTATATTATCATTCATCCTTAAAAATATCATCTTGAACACATTATCAACAGTAAGTGTTTGGGTTAATGAAACAATTTGTAACATAACATAACATACAGTTATCTCCCTTGGAATATCAGAGATTTTCACTATATATGTTAAAAATTGATTAAGTTGCATGAAGGGCATGGAACTGAAATTGATATAAATCTTGAAAATATCAATATAATAGCCTTCTTGGGATTAATCTAGACAAGAAACTGTGGAAATTGTCTTACGAATTAGGTAGTTAACTTTCATTCCTTTCTTAGTTAATAGCATTTAGTTGAAGGTTTGATAAATTTATTGACAGTGCAATTTCCATTATTTGTAACTTGAGCCACTGGATTCTATATTAGTTAATTCAACTGCATAGATTTATTATCTACATTGTGTATGTGCTTCTTTTCCCTTTCAGGAACAGCATCTAATATAGTAAATGCTACACACTGTGAGCCTTGTGAAATGGGGAAATACCAGGGAGTTATTGGACAAAGTATTTGTAATCTATGTTTAAAGGGAACATATTGCAAGTAAGTGGTTTAAGACATGCTTCATTACAAATCATGATTGCCTCACATTAATGGCCTGTTGTGAAAATTTTGGAGCATGAAGCCCTTGGATTGTTTAAGCAGCTTTTCAAAAACTAAAACAACAAAATTCGTCTCAGTTTTACACAAGTCAAATTTTTACATATTTATTGAAATATTTTTTGAGAGTGAGTATAAGCCTGACTTATATCATAGCTTATGTTATAAATGTTATATTTCAGTACTACAGGGTGTATAAAATGTAGCCTATGTCCAGCTGGTATGGATTCTGAAATAGAAGGTGCTATAACTTGTGACCTCTGTAGACCAGGTAATCATTAATATCACATATATTGTTTTCTTCTGGAGAATTCTTGTATGAAAAGTGTATTTTTTTTTATTTTCAATTAAAACAATTATTTTATCCAATTCAATGTATTAGCAGCCGATGATCAATCAATGTATTAGCAGCCGATGATCATTCAATGTATTAGCAGCCGATGATCATTCAATGTTATTTCTATTTGCATAATAATTCAATGATTTTTTTTTTTGACTGAAATGTTTTTTGATAAGCAGTTTTCGTAAATAAAATTGTCTTTGATTGACCAAAGTCTTGTAAAATTTCTATCATCTTTAAGGCTTTAATAAAAGTACAGAAGGTTCAACTCTTTGTGAAAAATGTCCTCAGGGTTATTTCACTACTGAAAACGGAACAAAACTATGCAACATTTGTCCTGAAAATTACTTCTGTCCGGTAAGTACTTTTATGTACTTACTTAGTTTTTCTGAAATTAAGGGAACTGCAGATGTCGCAGAGGATATGAAGCTGGTGCAAATGAGAGCTCTATTCTATGTCTTTGATACAAATAAAATAAATTTTCTAAATGCTCTTTTAATTATTCAGAAGTGAAGATGATAATAATAGTAAAGATTATTGTCATAAAAAAGTTGATAATACAATTTAAATATTATAAATATGATGACCAGTATTTCTCTATAGAGTAATATTAAAAAAGCTTTGAATTATTAAATCTGACATTTCAGCAAGCTGATGGTAATCCACAACCCTGTCCAGCGAGAAGTTACTGTCCTAAGGGATCGTTTGTACCTACAAGTTGTGATGCACCTTGGTATGTTATAAATAAGAAAGACAAGTCTTGTCAACCGACAGCAGAGTTAATGGCAATGATAGGTGGCTGTAGTGCAGGTTGGTTTCCTACTCAATTTTTGTACCAAATTATTCTACCCATTCAAAGTTTGGATTTAATGGCAAAATGTTGATATTTATATTTGTAAAATGAAGCAGTAAGGGTTAAGAAATAGCAGTAGTGAAGGAAATTAAAAATTACAAGAAAAACAAAAATTATTACTGCACAAGTTCATGAATAAGACTGGTGAATAATGTTGGTTGCGCATGTTCTGAAAATGCGTTACAAATACAATGCTTTCAACCAATTTACCAAGTAATTTTTCATTACATGAATCTTTTTTATGGTATCTTGTTCACATGCAAGTTAATTGTTCCTGTTTTTTTCAGTATTGTTAGTGATAGTACTTGTTAGTAGTGTGAAATATTATAATTATCGTCGGAAAAATAGAACAACTAACGAAGAGATTAGTCCATTAACGCAATCAGGTCAACAAATATATACCGGTTTATAGTGCTTTATCAACGCTGAACATATGAACATACATAAGGTGCTAGGATTGGTTGATTATAAATTATTCAGCCAATCATTCCTTATTATTCAAATTCCAGAATGTACTGGGTTTGGATGCTTTGGATTGCATATTAGAATGTCTGATTGCTCCTATACTCAATGATTACTCATTATTCCGATTCCAGAATCTGGTGTGGGATGCTTTATTCATTCTGAGGTGATTCAGATTGCATGATATAAATATCTGATTGGTCGTTTAAAATTTCTATAGCCAATGATAATTCGTTATGCAAATACTACGACCTACTGGTATAGTAAGGTGAAGGAAATATTTAGACAAAATCATTCAAAAATGAACTATCAAGAGCTGTCAAATACTGTTATTTGATTGGTTGTTCAAGATGTATACGGCCAATCATAGTGCTGCATTCCTATTCTTAGTATATTATGTTGCATATTATCAGAATATTGTCCCAAGTACATTCCAATTTTAAGTGCAAATTATATTGATAGTGTTATGATTTTTGCTTGAATATTTCATGGTATACTCGTTACCTTTGCTAGTCACTAAGATTTATAGACTGGTAATTATCCCGACTAGAATGATTTAGCACGCAGAACGAAAACAAATACATCGTATTTATATGATTAAATTGCTTTTTTGTGCAATGAAATTGAGAGTATTTAAGGTTCTGCGCCTATAATTGTTCTGTTTTGCGATAAAAAGATTGTTAATACTCATTTTTAGTTTAGTAAAGATAGAGTAATAGTTTGGTTATTCAGCGCACTTTTTACTTTTTCTACCCAATTCAGTAACTATTTACCAATTGAATATAGAGCTTTGGTGAAAATTCCTGTTAGTACAAAACTAGTATGTACTCATTCAAATGACCAAATAACTGCTGAATACTCTATCATATGTGGTGTATATATTAAGGAACTTGTTTATTATGTGCCAATTTCTCAATTTGTTTGACAAATATATGTATTCACATCCAGGATGCTTCAGCACATAAATAAGCTCAAATCTATGTTGCTTCAAAGTAGAATAATAGGCTATGTAATTACCATTTGAACTAGTGCTGATACGATATATAGGTGAATCAGCGATACGACATGCCACGATACGCGACGTCGTATATCGATACTTGGTGATACCTTTTATTCCATACAAAAGTGTGGATTTTTATAAGTTGGTTTATGATATAACAATATTTTTCACTGAAATTGTTAGAAACTTTTAATAAGACAATGGACGTTAACTACTTCTATCAACTATATTACTAAATATCACAATTATATCAAAGTAAATAGAAACTTTGAAGATAAAATGTTAATTTTTATCCCATTCCCCCATATCGCGATATGTATCGTATCATGACCCTTGTATCGCGATATGTATCCTATCGTGACCCTTGTATCGCGATATGTATCCCTTGTATCGCGATATGTATCGTATAGTGACCCTTGTATCGCGATATGTATCGTATAGTGACCATTGTATCGCGATATGTATCGTATAGTGACCCTTGTATCGCAATATGTATCGTATAGTGACCCTTGTATCGCGATATGTATGGTATAGTGACCCTTGTATCGCGATATGTATCGTATCGTGACATGATTGACGATACCCAGCAATAATTTGAACCAAATTTCCGTCGTGTGTAATTTTGTAACTAGTTACCTTCTGTACGTTTCCAAGTATTTTTGACAATATTTCTGATAACAAGCCTCTTAAGCAATTATATTTTAAACACTTAAAAATAAAGATAAGCATTTGTGTTTTGTTTTTCTGGATGTGCATAGATATTTTTGTCACAATACACCTGTTATTATCACGTTATTGTTTTGTGAAGCACATTCACTCTGTTATTATTGTTATTATGACCTATAATATTGCTTGGCTTGCCTTGTGTGCCTAAACTCTAACTGATATACATTTGTCCAACATGCTTAAATTTTCAATATCTTTATTTAATTGATTTGAATAGTTTAAAACCAAATTCAGCTGCGTTTCTAAGAAATTGTTCGCTTTTATCCAAAAAGACAACGTACGAAATATGTTACTTTAATGTCAAATTCAGCTTTTTAATGATAAAGCAATGAATTATAAGACTATATATTTTTAGAATTGAATTATACATCTATTTCAATATTATGAAATAAACACACTTCTTTAATAAAATAGGACACACTATACACGTGTCGTCATCAGATAAAAAAAATTTAAATGTGCATCCACTGTAGTTTATATTGCGTTATTGTATATATTGTTATATATTTGTTGTTTGTTAATTGATACTAAAGTTTATTGTTTATAGTTTCAATGTAAAATATGTTTCCAACATTTTATTGTTTCACAGTTAAGCACCCTGTTTTTCCGATAGTCCTGAAGCATAATCATTGAAAACCCTTCATACTTGCGCTGTTAAAGGGATACTACCTCTTAGAATGGACATACAATTTAGCGTCTTAAATTTGGTCAATAAATGCATATATTCATCAGTTGGACTTACCAGGTGGTATGAATAAAGAATAGAATCTCTTTATAAGACGACATATCCATTAAACTAAATAATTGAAAAACGCTTGTAAAATTTAATGAATTATTAGTTAGTTTCATGGATTTATTGGATTATAGAGTGATTTTGTTGTATAGTTATGACAACAGGTATGTCCACTGATGAACAAGGAATCATTGTCGCAACAATTTTTTGGTCATTCCGAGAGGAAGTATACGTTAAGAAAATCTATATTGTCGCAGATGGAATGTTTCTAGAATGTAAAGAGTGAAATTCGTCATTTTGTAAGTGTTCATGCAAATTCATCCATTATATTGATAATTGCTACATATCTATTTTTATATACTATGGGAAAATAAAGTGCAATTTCTACTGTTTTTGTTAGTGTAGCTTCTTTCCGCTTCCTCTTAAAGTTTGATAGGTTTCTGTACCATTATTCCCGTTTGTCCTTTAATGTATGGCGGATTTCTCTAACCTGGAGACTCGAGTTCCATCACATATTTCATCTGATAAAGTGTCCTTTTGGATTGATACCGGACGTGCTACGTATTGTGTACAAAGAGAAGGTGTTGGCTTATGTACGCTGCCTGACGTTGTAACTTAGTTAAATTTACTGTCTTGGCCGTGTATTCTCAAAACGATCTTAACAGTAGGATGTCTTATAGGTCTGAAGTTCTAACACTTTTTTATATAGGATATCCTCTCGACCATGTCAACAATACGCCACCTGAAATTTCTCGATGGTGCAGAAACCAAATACAAATAACATTTTTTCTAGACGTACCAGAAAGCCACCAACGGCGTTTTAGACATTAAGTATACAAGAAAATCGATGCATATTTAATGAAATATTGAATTATTACTGAAAATAAATCCCCCCAGACAGAAACCGGTATAGTTTCCACGTATATCATATCATATTGCACAAATTAATTAAGTTTTTTAATTAGTTACATTTTAATCACGAGAGACCTACAAAAAGAATGTTTGAATGGCTATATCAATACCGACTTTGCTACATGCTCCTCCGTCTATCTGCTAATGTCAAGCTTTGACCTCTTGATATAAAGTCGCATCCATCCAACTCCGAAATGTAGCTATAGTGCGAGGATTCGGATCATTCATATGACTTAAATAGTCTCACCTGGCCAAAGCGAAAGGCTTGGTTGCTTTGAAGGACTTTGAACTTTGAGTGTTGGGAGACGTTAGTAGCATATTTAAGACGTACTGGCCATGCTGGTGTGAATCCGATTATTCCTAAACAACAAACTAATGAAAAAACAACCTGCCCACTGATACAGTGTCAGACTGTTCTTTTTGCCATAAAAATACAATTAAATGAATTACAATAGTAAGTAGATTTCTAGCAATATATCTAGCTAATTGTCCGACTGGGCGTGATTCTATTTCTATATCGTTTTATTAGCATTCAGATTAACACAAGGAAAAAAAGGAAAGTTCACAATAGACCTCGTCTGATGAAGGAAATTATTAATTAGAAAGGCGAGGGAAGAGCTAATTACCTTAGGTAATTATTTTCTAGTAACAAAATTTTGAAGGCACGTAAAACGTGAACTTGAGATCAGAATGACTATTAAGATGTATTGAAGAAAATTGTGGTATTATGCTCACCCAAATCGTTGTGGTGCCAATTATCAGTCGTGGGTTTCGGTTGTCTTAAGGAAGCAAATATTGTACTTACGCTTTGGAGACTCAATCGAGACATCACTTCAGGCCTACTACAATCCAAAGGCCTTCCAGATATTTACAAAGGTTGCATTCAGCGTGCTGATATGAATGAATATATGAATATACTTCAATATAAAACGTAAAAGACGAATATGTTTGTTTGATTCGGGTCATTTTCAAATCAATGCAAGTTTCAGAGATAATGATGTAACTCTGTTAAATCAGCCACGACCAGTCACTTATTTCATAGTGAGTTCCGAGTCTTACAGACTGTAATATGTCGAACAAAAATTAATAGTGCAAGATAGTCCATTAAGAGTCT